GAGTGAAATTGCTATTCCCAGTGCAAAGCAAAGGACAGAAGGAAGTCATTCGTTCAAGGTAACCTGCATCCTTTGGCCTTCCTTCCTCTGCCTTCACCACAAAGCCAGCCACGTGAACAAAGCAACTCGCCCAGCCTCACAGGCTTCTTCGACTACCAAGACAAAAACAAGCTTTCATTAGCATCTGTGCTAGCTTTACTCCACGGATGAAACAGCATCCAATTCACTTAAAGGAGGAGGCAGGCAAAAGGGAAGGGTAAAGAGAATATCAACTTCCTGCTCTTAAGAAACGCCAACTGAATGCAGAGCCTCCCGGAGCATTTAGACCACAAAGGCAACATTGAGAAAAGTGCTTTCAAAAAGCAGAGGCACACCAGGTTTTCAGCCCCTCCACCTGACGGCAGCTAACTGAAAGGAGTACACAGTTCCTCCTACAAGGCATTTTACACCATTAATGCACCCACTTTTGACAACTGGCTCAGGTGTTTATAAGTCACCTGCGGTTGTGACTTCCCCAGTCAAGACTGTTTGCAGGAAGTGGTTTTACTTTATCTTTAGAAAGGAAGGAGTTGATTTTTGGGGATGAGGCTGCCCTGGAGAGGGATGCTGTAAAACTCCTCGAGTAAATTTCTCCTCCCTATGGCAAGTGACCCAGGCCTCCTCAGGGGAACTGCTTAACGCCAAAGCCTGGCCTTTTTCTGCAAAGTACCCTTAGTGAAGCCTATTAACCAGGCTATATGGATGAGCGTAAACCTGCAAGCGCCAGAACATAAATCCCTGAATACCTCCAACTCTACAACCAAGAGATAGTCCAGTTGGGCTGCTCGCTAGGTCTCACCAAGTCTCCACATGATTACTTGACATCTAGGGATTTCCTACACACCCTGACACCTTCAACAGTACTACAGGAAATCTCTCATCTTTCTATTTTAGGCTTATCGGCTTCCATTGCTTATGTTAAGCGCCTTCTTGGGCCATGACTCAGCTCAAAATAATTCCCTGCTCCTCCCAAAACACAGGACTTTTCTTCCTTGCTAAGTGTCCTGCAAGATCAGAGTGCAAGAGCAGCTGATGGAGAGCGGCTCAGACATCTGCAAAAACAACTGACCAGAGCTTCACAGCACCTTGCTAGGGACCCAGAAGAGACCAGCTACTGCTACTACCAACCACACCAGAGGAAAAGCAAAGAGCTAGACAAGTAGAGCCCACTGATTCCTAAAGCCGGGGCAACATATAATCAATCTGGGGTGCCAGAGACCTGCAGAGCCCAGAGACAGAGAAGCCAACTACTGTTCAAGCTCCTGCAGGAGGCAGGGTATGCAATAAATCAAGATCCCAGCTCCTTCAGCACTGAATTTCTTTGGTGGAAGAAATAAGCCATTCTTAATACCGGCAAACAGGCCCCAAACTGCCAAGAAGGGCTGGAAGGTGTCTCCTAGCAGAGTTCATTATTTACTCCGTTTGCATTTTCTTTGGTGAAATTTTAATGAGACGTTCACATACAAAGCTGAAAAGATTAAGTGCCCCTTAAGTCATCCATATTTCAGTAAAGAGAAGCCTATTAGGCCCTGAAACTCTGACACAGCCAGAGCTTCCAGCCTGCACAGCAACAACTGTTTCTGAGGAGTGGCAAAGCACAACCTCCCCATGACTTGCAGCTCAAGCCTGGCAAGCCTAAAGGGTCGAGCCAGGGTCCACGACCCACCCTGCACACAGGCAGCGCTCCCATTATGCCTGCGGTCACCATTAGGTCCTCTTGCTGACGCTGTCCAAATTGTGCCAAGAAGGGCGGAAAGTAAAGATGCCCCATGTTTTCTTTACACTCAGTCATACCGTGCCATTTCCAAACCACATCAGATGCGTTATTGGATAATGTTTCTGCAAAGCCTGCCTTTTAAAGGCCTCAGACTGATTTAGATTTCACCAGCCCTCGAAGAAGTCCAAGGAGGTAGGTAAGTTACCTTACTTTACTCACGAGAAACAGAAGCCTTGATTTCTTTCTGTTAATCCAGCCCCACATACCTCACTATCTGCAGGCTCACTATATTTTAAATTAGCTTCCTCCTGTTCCCACCTGCCTCCCCCGCAGCAGGATAGGGCAGAAATAACAAAAGCGACAGTCGAGCCACTTCAGTCAAGCAGTGATAAAAGTTCAGCCAAGCAGTGATAAATAGCACAATTCTAGCTATAGAAAAGACAAATATTAGTAGAACGAAGCATTCATACACGGATGACGAACAGCACAAACACTCATCCAGGAGTGCAATCATAGGTAAAGTGCCAGAGCTCCGTAGAAAAGAGTCATGGCACAGGGGAAGCGTTAAACAGAAACAACCCAGTGAGGGTTTAGTTTAATGAAAGCCCAGAAACAGGAGTACCCTAGGGCTCATTTTTGGCAGAACAAACGCCGGAGGTGTCTACAGGCAGGGCTAAACACTTCAACACAGCCGGAAAAACAGGACTTTTCACACATCAAAAATTGTCTGTTGATTCCAGCAGCATCTCCCAAACAACTCATTTTTAAGTGTTCCATCGAAAGCCAGCATCCTTTTCCAACACTCATTCAAGTCAGCAAGGCAGCTTTGGCAAGAGTCACATCAACTCTGAAACACGATAAGAAGGATCAACAAACACGGAGCAACCCCTTTGCTCCACAAGGTTCGGGAGGTCCTTCTTTTCCCTGCCTCTTCCCGCTGGAGAGGCTGGGGAGGCCTGGGCACAGTCTACGTCTCCCCACTGCGTTTCTCCACTAGCTGCGAGAATACCCGCTCCCAAGTCACCCAGACAGGCCTGGTTTGGCTCCCACAAATTCTCACCTCCCAGAAACACCAGGACCTGGCACTGCGCTAACAGAAACGAGCAACTCCAATAGCCTTCTCATGTGCTCATGGGTTTCGCATCTGGAGCAGCTGTTTGGCAGAGCTATAAGCAACAGAGTGTCCTGGGCTCCCAGAGCCATCACCAGTCAAAACTACCAGGGATGGCAGTAACCCCAGCTGGAATCTGACCTTCACACGGCTCTGCCTTCACGGCCTCCTTTTATTGCAAGTAGACCGACATCAAGACACAGCACACCAAGCATAGGAGGAGCATGAATTTTATTAAGATGGCTGAAGGTTAACTCTCTTAGCAGAGAAGTCATTAAGCACTGAAACACAAGGCTCCCGGCCTGACATAAATCTGGAACGTTTCTGCTATCGGAGTAATGATAGAGTTATACACTGCTGTAACAAAGTAGTAAGAGAAAGTCAAATGCCAGCACCTAATGCTTCCCATTACTGGCAAGGTTGCAGCTGGAAAGAGGCCCCGGGATTTTAGTGTTACAATGCCACCTCGTGGGAATCACTGCAAGTCACCACCAGCCCCAAAAGCAACGCCCCCAAGCGTCCGAGGCGCAGCAAGCTACAAAGCAAGAGTCCTTCAAATTGCTAAGTGGTAACTCCAACGGTCTTCCCACACAGGGCATTAGGAATAGCCACTGTATCATGGTATTTTCCTGCCGCTAACACGTCACGTAAGGTTAGAACTTCTATAATTTAGAGTCACCTGCAGAATAACAGGAGTTTTGAACAGTTTATCAGAAGTTTCCAAAGCTTCCTCCTACACAATGAAAAGTGGTGGCAACAGCACTAAAATAGCAGTATTTTTGAGAAGCTACATCAGAGGAAGAAAAGAGGGTCCTCTTTGGACAAGAGTCCTTACCACCACAGCAAGAGTTTTGCTAGGGTTCCCGCTCCTGTCCAAGCAGAGGCCAGCAGGTTTGGGTGGGTGAACAACGCGTACGTGTGTCTCAATTTCACACTTGAAAGCTGCCCACTACAATCAATAAAGCTTTAAGATGGACACTGACTAGATCTATCCCTTCAGTGTCCAGCCAGCATTAATTCCTCCACCATTCCCTCATCACTGAGCCACACTCCGCTTCACTCCTCAGCTGTATGAGAGACTGCACAGCCATCAAAAAATGGCAAGTTCACATACAAAGCTGAAGTTCACACACAGTCCATGAGCACAGCTGGTTGGGAAACAGTTTCCAGATCACAGGCTCAAAAAAAGCCTTAAACACCAAAAAAAAACCCAAACCAAAACAAAAAACCTTAAGACGGTTTGAAAACTTAATTCAGCACCACTTTTTACTTAAGACTATCAATTTCATTCATTTTGATTATATTAAGCATGTTTATCACATTTATGGAAGCGTCAACACAGTCATTACACTTTTATAGTTTAAACAGCCATCCGCATTAAATCAAAGCATCAAGACTTCTCACTGAAAGAGCATTCCTATTTGTTCTGTTTGTGGCACTCTTCAGCAGATGAAACATTTCTAGCGCAATAAAACAGGACACTGCTCCATTGAAGTTTTCTAGCCAGCTCTGACCTTATCGTGTTCAGTTATTAATCAGGCATCCTAACGCATGAACACGCGAAATCACCAGGGAGCAGCTTGAAAGGCAGAGAAGCCCAGGGGCCTGCCTGCACCAGACATTCAAGGTTACCAGCCCATTCTCCTTGCAAACATGTTAGCTCTCTGTCCTTACAGGGCAACATTAGCTAACAAAAATAAAATGCATCAGATGACACCCTGGCATGAGAAGAGGCTGGCAAACGCGCTGCAGAGATTGTTTTGAAGGTAACGTTTATGGAGAGAGACAGTATCTTATTAGATTAACTGATATCACTGGGGGTGGAGAGGAAGAGAGAAACACCTGCAGATGCATAAGCTTTTCTTTGCCTTTAAAACAAGGTACAGACAGATGACGGCAAGCAATCAAGTTACAGCCGCTTACTGGCTCACTCCTGATCAGGTGAGGTAGGGTACCTGACGGAGTGCACGCTCTCAACCCACTGAGAAAGGGAGGGTAAAACAAGGCAGCTTTCAATGGGATGAGAGTACACATTGCTCATATAGCGGCAATGATAGATCCTTGTGTTCACTCGTCTCCCCACCTCTAGCCAGGTGTGCTAGTATCAGCTTGGGAGAGGAGTCAGGAACTTACGGTTCAGCTCCGGGGGAGGATAGAGGTGGTAAGTACTGTAAATATCATTGGACATCTGCAGCTCCAGTTTTGTGTGCTTTTCCAGCAGGTCAGATATTTTCTCCTCCTGGAACGGTGTCTTTTCCAGGATCACAACGGCATCAGTCCCTTCTCCAGAGTGGCCGGTCACCTAAAACAAGAACGGAAAAAGCAGTCAGCAAACACTGATCCAACGCTAGCTGGAGAGTCTGACACCCTGATCTGAACACCTCACCAGCCGCGCTCCCCAGGGAACGCACAGGACACCTTGCGGCCCCACGCAAGCCTGCCGCGGGGGAGAGGAGGCAACACCGACGCCCAGTGCCTCGGCAGTTCTCGTGCACAGACCCTGTTTCCCAGCTAATTCTCCACTGTCAAAAAGGCACGTTTGCTCTGGAACACAGCAGCACTAATGGGGAATGTTGGGTAGGTGAAGGCAGCTTCATCAGGAGCTGTCTCAGCCTGTC